CTGGACGAAGTAGCTTCAGAAGAGTGAAACCAAACAATTCCTTTTAAGGCTGAGGAAAGGGTGAGTTCACGTTACTGGAAGGAAAGGGGAAGTGTTTCCGGGAGAATTTGCGAAGGAGGAGAAAAAATATTAGGACTAACTTCCTTCTCCTCCTCCGCCTCTTCCCTTATGACTGTAGGAAAGCAAATAACATGACATCCTCCAAATGGAGAGTAAGGGACGGATGGACCACCCTCCCACTTTTTCAATAATTCCTCTCTCAATATGTCCAATATGGACCCTGGAGTCACCATAGAAAGAGTTAGAATGGCTTTATTTACGTTGGCGGCCCGGTAATTGAGCAAGGAAATTAAAAAGCCGTTTGTAATTAGGATTCCGGGGGAAATACCTCCGGCTTGAGAGGGTAATATGGGGACATCTGGATCCCATTTCCTCCCCCCATTAGGGAGTCACGCTTCGGTCACCCAAAGGGAACAACTCCCTTCCTCTCACCTTATGGAAATTGACGATGCTCTTATTTTCGCGAATCTCAAATACGATAAGCTCAGCCTATCATGTGTAATGTGAGTGATCAGTGGTAACTTTATTTTCGTATTTCGAGAAAGTCCGAACATTCCGAAGACAAGAACTGACAGCTTGATAATTATTGCCTCTTCCTTATTTTGATCGATATTTTTGTCGCCCCTTAGTGATGAATTGCGTTCCGTTAAGAGAGCGGCTTTCCTGATTTTATTAGTCATGGAGATACGTTAGCATCATAGTGAAATTAGTATTCTCGTGCAAAAACTTTTTTTTAGTAGACTTTTCGTCTTCGCTGCAGGTGGGTTTCTTTCATTTTTTCCCCCCCATCGTATCAGTGATGAGAGGTAGAAACCAGAGTTTTATCGAACCTCCGCGTGAGCCTAAGAGAAGAAAGCATAAATCATGAGGAAATTGAGCTATTCCCAGCCCGTGGTTTGTTTCTCGGTCTGGTTTCGCAAAATAAACCGTCCCCTCCCAGCCTCTCCCTCCCCCCAAAACAGGGCGAGAAACCCTCGAGTGTATTAACGGGAACGGAGATTGAAGGCAAACAAACGAGATGACGGAAGTATGCACGTGCTGCTATGTGGAAGGACCGCTAGTGACACGGAAATCAATTTGTTGTCTCTTAAAACACGAGATCTCCGGTCGGATGATGAGAAGACTTGGAGGAGGAAAACTGGCTCGGTTGCAAGTATGAAGGAAGGAGGTGGTCATGCACGTGGAAGTGGAAAACCGCGAACCCTCTTACGGACAAATGACTGACGTACCTATACGGCAAAATTAATGACTCTCTCGTTCTCTATCTCCTAGGGTAACCAGGGTGTTCACCGCTGGGTAACCAGGGCGACCTTGACCGCATCGATCTATAGACCGTCTGGCTCTCTCGATACACACCTGTGCTCCCTTGTTTATTGGATCCTTCCCTCCCCTCTACCTAATGAAGGGGTTAACGTTTCACGGTGATTGGGCTGAGGGGGGGGGGGGGGGGGTTCCACACGTTGCCAGATGCTGTTTCACATGAAGCTCGTATCATCAAAGCTTCCGGATTTCATGAAGAACGCCGGGCGAGGGCGAAACAGGCCGGGAATGTACGGTTACCTGTTTATTTCGGCTACCGATGTAAATACAGGAAATGAGTTGCCGAACAAAAGGTTTGTAAACGACCAGTAGTTCCGCCACAAGGGTGGGTGTCAATGTGAAACTCAATCAAGGGGACTCCAATACGTAAAAATATAAGGCCGAGTTTATTAACAACAAGGTAGTCGTCGTGGTCTTCTCAGATCATCTGCGTACAAAATGTCATTATTATAAGTTGGGTAGATTTTATTTCAGAGATACAGATGAGGATCGTTTGGATGATTCTTCTCACTATCGAAACTGGCCAAAAGATAATAATTCAGTGAATTGTTTGATCATGAGCTGGGTTTCGTAATGCTGCCGTTTGAAACTTACCAACGATTCACATTTGATACTTTTTTACGCTGCAGTATCTTCCCGTAGATTCCAAAATGAGGGTCTTTGTGCGAGGGCCATGAACCCGGTCGCCACCGAAGCGTTATACCATAACGAGGGTGCCTCCCGAAGGGTGTCACGCTGCATGATGCTACCCATATATCCGATTATCTCTAGAGTCTATACCCCCCCGGTTCCGCCATTCCACACTCTGTCTCTCCTTCCATCTTCCATTTAGAGAAATGAAAAGAAAAAAGAACAGACGAGGTTGGTTAAGTCAGAATCCGGAGCCGGAAGCCGACGCCCTGAAGAACTGAGATGGTGGGAGGTAATTTCTCGTTGCGTTGCTTCCCATGATGATGATCATGAGGAAACTTCCTTGAGAAACTCCTCTTGTTCTTCATGACAAAGATAGAAGAGAGAGAGATGGATAGATGGAAGAGACTGTATGCAGCATAGCGTGAAACAATATTTTCCGCCAGCTCAGTTCCTCTATGCCATAGACGCCCTTGTCTTATCCCGTGTTATACTTCGGGGAGGTCAGAGCTCCTGTTATTGGACTACACAGTTGGCTTAAGTATAACGTCAGCGTCGGATCTGTCATTTTTGCTGGTAAAAACTCAGAGGACTGTTGCATATATGCTTTATAGATGCCTGATATCAGAATGTTCCGTTCATTTTATTCATTTATTTTCAGAAGGTAGCTCATATAGCCTATTAGATTTCCAAGTCGTGCCTGCTTGACAATCCTTCTATCGTGACTGATCCGTCGTTGGAGAGGTTTGATAGCTACAACGTCAGGATCAGGTGTAGGCTAGGTAGGTGCTGGATTTCACAGCCTTTTTTTCCATTGGTGTTCCAAAGGGAACTCCCCAAGCTCCAAGATTTTCGGGAGCCCCAATGAGGCTCCCGAAGGTGTTAGCTCACATTCCAGGAACATTCTCATGCTGCATACAATCCTTGTAGACGTATGTAAATGAGAAGAAAAAGAGTGAGACTAAGGAATCCTGAGCCTCTCGGGTTGTCCCTTGCCTTCTTTTGAGAAGAAATTGAAAAGTACAGTATTTTGAACTATGTAAAATTGAAATATAGAATAGACACTAATACTATTCTAAATGTTACCTGAGGAAATTTATTGCCTAAATGTTTGATCAAATACTACTTAAATTATTTGAATTACAGGGCGGGCTCTGTCATGTCATTGAGTTCTACGTGGATGATTCAGAAAATATGCACACTCGTTAATCGTAGTTATTCGGTTATGTTTGATCATGAGATTCACCTAATGGAGAGAAGGTGAATCCTGCCATGAACTCTGAGCCACGTCGATTTCAAGAATCTCATGAAGTCCATCCATTGAATCCCTCGCACAAGACATTCACCTCTGCTTTTTTCTCCTTCCATACTGAACATGATCGTGAGAGAAAAGAAGGATCAGTTCAGGAAGATCGATGGACCTTGACACCACGTTCTTGATACATCATTGCTTGGTGTAACTCATACGTGTGCACCGAGTGACTTAATATATTTTGTGAACATGTAATGTTTTGTAAGGGAGAATTGCAAATTTCGAAATAATCTATTAAGAACTTGAAAGTTTTCTTTAGAGAGGGAATATTTTCTATAAAAAAAAAGGTTTAAAAAAAGCGCCTTGAATTTCATGGTGTAGGCACCATAAGTCCGGAAATCCCAAGCTATTATTGTCGGATTGCAAGTAGAAACCGCAGTGGTGAACCGCAATGAGCAACAACAGTCTTGCAATTCTGTACATTTTGCGCAATATGTGTATATACGCTCGCAAGTCGGTGGAGAACTCGTTAGGGGAAGGACTTGAAAGGTTCAAGGCTCTTGTTGATGCAGCTCTTCGTATAGGCTCTTACAGATGCAGCTACTCGTATAAAGAAGGAAAAAAGAAAGGTGTTAGGGGGGCATTACACGGCCCTCAACGACGTGAATGCCTCCGTGCATAATCAAGACTTGCCCTCCTCCCAATCCACTTTTATTATGCAGATTTTTTGCCTTGGAAACTTCCTTTTGGGTCGTATCCCGTTCCCCTTTCCTCCACGCGGTCTTTTTTTATGAGTCACGGAGCCGTGAAGGAGCAACTATGAAGTAAAAAGAAAAATTCGGTGCCTTAATGGAAGGAATGATGCTTTGTTCAGATTCACGATTTTTTCTTTTATCTTTCTTATACAATCCCCCTTTTCCGTATTGTTATTATCAGGTGTTCGTGCAGCGTGATTTTTTTTTCCACGCTGCATGCAGTGGTGCATAATGAGCCTGAGCGGCGGTCATGAGGCAGGCTTTTCCAAAAATGAGAATTTAGCCAATACATTTGTTTGATATGGAGGAGCTGAGGCCAGAAAGAGAGCGGCTGGGAAGGCACGTGGATGTGGTTCATATAAACCGTCTTGGGAGTATGATGGATATTAAAACGAGATGTGGATCATCCATCACGGCCCGAGAAAATGCTATATCCCATTGCCAGGGGGCGGCATTCATCAAACCGCACTTATACCTACGAGAAACCGTGTAATGAAGCCTACTTAACCTCATTCGACCCCGGCTCAACTGCAGTGGAGTGTCATAATCGGTTTCAAAATGTAATGAATGAAAACAATACCAGTTGCGAGTCTTTTCATGGAATTTTCCCGCGTTTTATGTTAATACCTGAATGCTTGATAGTGCGTTGCAAATTATATATTTAAATTTGCTGCCGAGAATCGTTGTCCTCCGTCCCGCATTGTAACGCCATATATCGGACTCCATGGTCTCAGCTCGCCGCGGTCCCTTTGCGGACAAATATGCGGACCCGCGCAGGTCTCTCACCGAACCCCGGGTCGAATTCCCCCGCATTTTCACACCCCCTACGTGAGGCTTTTAACCCCTCGTCGCTTTCGAGGATTGAACCCATATATTTGTAGTCCTATTGGCGCTCCCTCTCATGAATCATGCCAGATAGGGCGTGGAGAACCATAACGGTCTTTGCATGCAAGACTGATATTGAATCTCTTTTTCTGTTGCAGAAATTGTTTTCTGAGGCCTCGTCCACGTTGTTTAGAGTCACCCGGAATTTGGCCTACTTCCGCTCCGTTCGCATAAAACTTCCGGCTTGGTGGGACCATAACCAGTGCAGCATTTCTGCATCTCAGGTAAAAATGTCATCATATTTGAATTTTCTCCGAGTGACTCCACCTGTGAGACATCATGTTTTCTTGCGAGACCATTTCCAATTTTTTGTCATTTTCCCATTCACAGTTGAAGAAGTCGTGGGGGACTGAGGATCCGGACGTGATCGTAGGACCCCAATCCCCATTACACGGGGACAATCCTTACACGCCACAACCGGGAGGATGCGGTAAAAAGGGCCTTTATATACACCTCACGCCGGATTTTCTCAAGGACCTCAACGCCACCGCCAAGAAATACGGGGATCCCGGTGAGTACACGCAGGCCAAGGAAGAGTGTCAAAAACCGTTCCCACACCTTTTCTATCCGCGCTTTCGTATGCAGGTCGAGTACTGGTCCGAGAATGGAGCAAGTATCGGTATGGGGTGTACGATGAATTGGGGTACCCAGGTGACCCCATGTACCCCTCCTTTTATACCTCTTATGATCATGAGGGAAAGCCTCTGAGCAAACCGACCGGTTGCACCAACAAACCTATTCAAGGGGAAAGGTCTGCCTTCTCAAAACTGATGCTGTCTACTTCTTTTGTTGATTTTTTTTTATATCGATAGTTGTTTCTCCCGTTCAGAGTATGCGATGAAAAGGGCCGTTGCGTGTTCAGACCCTCGACGGAGCCCGAGAATAATCTAGTCACTTCGTCGATGATGTACCTTCAACATCTTCCTTACGTGAGTCCCACGATATCATTCACATCGACCGGTTTCGGAACCAAGGATATGTTTATTTGCCTTTAATTAACTAATTTTTTCACATATGCACTTGTACTTGATTGAGTGATTTTATTCATTAGTTTCATGTTTCACTTATTTTAAACCATGGGATTATTCTTTCTTTCATGGAGTTTTTTTGTCTATTCTACGTACAGATTGAGGATTTCTGCGACGAGGACTCCCATCAGAAGTTGGTGCCAACGAAGCACAACCTACTGTGTGGGGGTCAGAGCATCTGGGAGGTCATGAGGAAGCATCCGGACTTCCAAAAGTAATATTTCCTTTTCCTCTATACTTCTTTGCGACTCGTGGAAATGTATCCACGAGTGAGTACAATTAATGTTATGATGGTGCGGAAGGTCTACGCCGTCGCGGAGCGTGCCTTTCTCCAATCCCGTCTTCGAATACGTTCAAGCCGTGAGTCGCCGGATCGTCCTCGTCCTCGATCACACACAATCCATGGGACAAGACGTGAGTCGCATCATATGCTCTCTTCTTTATTCCTCCATTCCGGGAAATGCAACTACGAGCAATTGTCGGGAGGGGTTCAGTCGCATTCAGTGGAGTTTTATTGTGCTTTATTCGCGACAGCATGCAAACCATCACAACCACAGCATTAGTGTTGTTGCAATATATAAAATAGAGATTGCCACTAATAGGAAAGAGAGCAATAGCTATTATGAGAAAGAAAAATCAATATGAACTGGGAAAATAATAAGTAGAGGAAAAAGAAGAGAAATCAGTCCCTGGATCTTTCTCTAGTGCTCCGACGAATTGGGCTACATCGTTCACATTTACCATTCGCAGTCGCATTCTGCTCCTTCGGTGGAAGTATGGTATGCTGAAGAAAAAGCATTAAGAAAGTATTGATAAAAACTGCCACTATTAGTCATTTTAATTATAAATGTAAATACCTGCAAATTTGTACATGTCACAAGGTAATAATAGTTCGTAATTTGAGACTTTGATTGAGGTCAAGGCGAAAAAATAATATGGAAAGATAAATTGATATGTATAAGCTTGCCCAAAAAGTTCAAATAATTTTCAGAAAATTTCGAGTTTGCCGATACTGATTGATTACGGTTGCGTTGTACAATAACAGGGATTGATTATTCGTGGGGCTAAGCGACATTTATGTTCTCTTGGTGCTGACAGCAGCTCGTACGCTTCTACCCTCTCGCAAAAGAAATAAGTTTGGAGTCGCTAGGAAGGGGAGAGTGAGGGAAGACCTCCTGTCTCCTTCCAACGTGCCACTGTACATTGTTGAATAATGCCGACGAAGAGATGCATGCCGGGACATTCACCACTGCTAATATTCTTGGAGCACTCGAGTTCGAGTCCGGTAGGGAGATCAATGTGCCTACCATGGTCGTTGATTCTCTGTCACGTGTCGCAGATCCCCGTGGCAAAATGGCACTGTCGTCTACTGTACACTGCGACATCCGCTGCACGCCATGCCATAAAAACACGTGACGCATGTCCCATAGCAAGCAGAAATAAATAATGAATGACTTCAAAAATCAATATATCCCTTCGTAGAACTGGTTCATGACCTGTTTCACTCTGGATCACGAGCTGTTACGTCTGACATACAAGTGACTGTGAGACGAGTTTTCAAAAAAAAGCGAAAAAAAGCACTTAGAATCTGGAAACGTAAAAAAATAGCAGTATTCAAGTTGCATTAGCTTGTAACAAATGGAACCAAGAAACCTAAATTATGAAATGCCAAACAATGATGTCGAGGCAAAGTACCTCCGTCTTCACAAATCACAATTAACATTGAAATCGTAACATGTCTGTGTTTGGCCCAACAGCCTTCTGACGCAAAAATACTTCCGGATGTGTTATCCGATCTGGTGGTAGCCTTCTCACTGGCAGCGGCGCCGACCTTTCAAAAGCAAAGCATGATTTTTTCACCAATATACAAGTATTATATTCAACGACCTGCATGATGAGATGGCGTGAAGTGTAAGTGGCCTTGTACAGGGTGACGCAAGAGTCGCGCCCCATAGGGATTTTGAATAATAATAAGAAAAAATAATCAATTGGAAGCCTCTCTGGATATTGTTTATTAAATTCTGCAGCAACTGATCGATTTGAAGCACCTTGCCTTCCTTACATTACAACCAAGCTCACTCTCTCGTCTTGCGTTAATTTTGCTGCCATCACTTTCCTGGAAAGGGAAATATATGTTTTCTCTATGGGACGCGTGACTTTTGCGCCACCCTGTACAATGGAATATGGGAATGGAGCTGGAATAGGTGGAACGTGGCAGAAAGTATTCTAAACCCGAAGTTAAACTTGGTAAGATCGATAATTTGTTCCTTCCGTTGTGGATGATGGGATTAGAACCGATGGAGCAGCGTGCGGCGGGCGACCTACCGGATGATGGAGCTGTTGAAGAAAGAGGAGGAACTGGAGGGTACGGTGAGGGGTCACCAGGGGCGCGGGGATCATCCAACTCGGGTGGGGATCGTCCACACGGCAGCCACCATCACAGAAACACGTCCCCTCACACCTGTCACCCAACTCCCCATCGCCAGCGCCTCCCTCATCGCCCGCTATCAGAGCGGCGAAGAACAGCGTTGCATCGCCTGCGGCATTCGAGAGGCCCTCAAGGTCTCTTTTTTTCCCCCTCTCTCTCATATTATCTGTATTGACAATTGTGAGAAGACGGTGAGGTGGGAAGGAAATAATTATACGCTTAGCGCGATTTAGATGTAATGACTACATACTCCAGCAATTTCGTGCTTAATGGAGGTAATGAATTCATGCAACGAGAGATTTTTCAATGTCTGTCTTGCAAGATTGAAGAAATGGGACTATTGAGGACTCCGCGATAAAATTGGGTATGGATTTTAGCTGCTGAGTCGAGAGGGGGAGCCAGCGTCGGGGGCGGAGATCATCGTGGTATCCCAGGAGCTGAACCTGGGGGATCAGCTGGAAAAGATCAAAGAAGAAGTGATAAGGAGTGAGGTGACGTTGCACGCCATCGTCTTCCCGGAATCTTCGTTCCGGGAGATCCAGGAATTGTCCAGGATCACCGGGGGAAAGGTTTTCTCCTTGTCACGCACCGAGCCTGCAACCTCCATGGTCGAGATCCTTAACGCCTACGAGAACATCATCCCACTCAACAATATCATCACGGTATGATGACGTCGACGCCTGTCTATGTAGAGTGAATAAGGAAAGAGGGCAAATACGGGGGGAAAAGGCAGAACCTCGAACTTGGTTTTTATTTTAACTGCCGAGCCTACGAAGTCGTCCCCGTTTCAGTCATTCAAGCAGAAGATTACGTTTGAATGGAATCCATTCAATTACCTACTTAAAAAAATGTTTTCATGCATCTGCCTGGTTATATTTTATTAAAAATGAAATTCTTTGTTTCAACAACTTTCAGCATAACTTAGTATTTTCTTAAATTTTCTTGTACTGTAAAATTAAAAAAAATAGTGTGATATTATTCACCACTATATATATTTTTTAATTTGATGGTGAATAAAGCTGTTTACCTATTTGACAGTATCGACGGTGTGTGACTTTTGATTTTTGCTCGAGTACCCTTCAATGAATCTTCTGATTCATCTTCATCAATATTTAATAAGATGTATTAAATTAGATCCTGTCAAGATCAAGTTATATTTCAGATTTCAACTTGACATTCGACATGAGAGGTTAATTCTGGGGAAGATGAATCATGTCTTTTTTTCTCCTCAAGATCTCAGAGGAGGAGGTGAAGCCGGTACCAGGGGGAAGAGAGAAGATCTCAGGGAGATTCCAGGTAGATCCGAGCCTCTCTCCTCCTCTCTCTGTCATGGTGTACTACAAGGACCCTCGGCTGGGTCCTTCCTCGTTGAAATTGACTTCCCCCTCCGGCGTGACCTTTGAGGATTTCACCACTACCATCTATTATGCTGCCGACATGATCCTCGTGGAACAGAACCCTCTCCAGGTCTCTATGTCTGCCCATCATCGATAATACGCATTCCTTCATTGCAAACGTCTGACTTTAATATCGTCATCATCTTCTAGATGATGATCTAGAAGATGATGACGATATTACATACTTGCTCAACCAAGACTTGATGAACTGAAAACAATGCTTTCTTTAAATTTCTGTTGCTTTTTCCTTTCAACATTATCCAATCATACCTTCATTTTATACATTTCAGACGTATGATGCGTTGAAACTCCTGATATCAGAAATCAATGGAGGCTGATGACTCTCGTACTATTTTTACATAAATTATGATTTTTATGGCAAAAACGTAATTGCTGTAGTATAATAATTGTATTAAGTTTTAACGTGCATCGATTTCAATGGAATCGGAACCAAGGGAGGTTCATGACAGTAACTCGTTCTCATCATTGTAGTCGGGAAGATGGGAGTGGGAGGTGGAGCTGGTGGCAAGCGACGTGGCGGTGGTGCAGGTGCGGGCCCAGGTGCCCCACCGATCGGGTGCCGACCCCTTCACCCTCCGGGTGTGGACATCCTGGGATGATCTCCGCTCGCCCTCAATCCCGGATCCCAAGTCGGAGCCACTGATCGTCTACGCTCAGGTGGAGAAAGGTCCCAGCCCTGTCATCGGAGCCAATGTTCTCGCTGTTGTCCTTCGTGGATCCTCCTTCGGCAACGATAGCGTCTCCCTTAAACTCCTCGACAATGGATTAGGAGGTCAGCAAGTACCTCATTCATTCATCTCACTTATCATGCTTCCAGTTCTCCCCATATTTTTCATAAATTCCCATAACAGTGCTGACAGGTCTTTGATTTATATTTCCCATAACCTCCCGAGAGCATATTCAGTACAGGAACAAACACGCAAGAAGGGATAGAAAAATAGGGGCGTTTTTTCTTAGAGGATACCTGACTGAAAACTGATTCTCTCCTAAGAACCAATGTAGACGTTGTTGCCTGTCTTGACAATTGACTCGAGCCCATGACAAATGTGTTTTCTGCAGACCCGGACGTGCAACAAGGAGACGGGATCTACAGCAACTATTTTTCGTCGTTTCTGCCGACGGAGGCGAAGTACGAGATTTACGTTCGGGTCGACGACAACGAAGGGGCCGCGAAGATGGTCCGAGCCACCGGACGAACCCACCGGGCCATCCCAACCGATCCTGACATCTGTGAGCACCTTTCCGCATCTTTCTACGCGACGTCACTCGCAGGTGCTTTACAGCTTTCAATTGAAATTGCAATACGCAATGCGTGACGTTTCTGCACGAATGTGAGTACTGAGAGGAAATGATTTTTCAGGGAATATTAATTATTGGAGGGAACTCTACCAGTCATTAAGTCTCAACATATTAAGTTATGACGTAGTAGGAGGAGAACTTCCGCCAGTCGGGCAGACGTCCTATGTGCGGTGGAAGCAGAACGAGTTCAATAATGCTTGTGAACGTGAGAAGAACGACACATTACTCACCGTTCATTTGGCACCAGAAGAGAGTGAGAGAGCGCATAAGGGACAGATTTGTAATGGACAAGTCTATGAAGAAAGTCTTTTCCTTATCCGTCGCAAGCTAAGAAGCCCAAGAAGGATAGTTAGAAAAATCTAAGAATGCTTTCCGCCGTGGCTCTATCGGATAAATCTTCTAAAACTCTAAAACGAACACTTCTGGTGAGTAGTAACCGCGCGCATTCGTTACTCTGGCTATGTTAAGAACAAGGAATGGGGCGATACAGTAGGTCCCTGTTACTGGGGGCAACGACACGGCTTTTGCTTTCCGGTTGAAGGCAACGCGATATCGTGGTGGCACCGTCTCGGTAGGCGCGACACTTTTTTCTCACCGACTTAGTATTCTCGCACGGATGAATGAGCTTTTCATCTGTATGGGTTAAGGATGGGATGTTTCCGATGGATCAGTAGGTTCGGATGCATGCTGCGGGAGTACGGTGGGGGATCCGGATGCGTCTCCGACGCCGTCCTTCCAGAGATACCGGGCCGGTCTGTCCCTGGTTGTGGAAAATCCTCCCCTGCAGGACGTCTATCCCCCGAACAAGATCACGGATCTCTCTGCCGAAGTCTGGCTCGAGTACAATCGCATCACCCTCAAGTGGTCGGCTCCTGGCGGCGATTACACCAAAGGCAAAGGTTCGCCTCCAAATCTTATTTCCATTCGACCATCTTTCTTATCTCTTTCCGTATCTATAGGATAAGATAGCTTCCGATTGGCTGCTCTTTTTCATTGACGTCTACCGATGATGCATTCATGGGCACATCCCCAGATGAGCGGCCCCTGAAGATAAGGAACCTCACAGTCGGAACAGGAACGCTATAAAGGAGTTGCAGCTAGCATCACAAGTGGAACAGAAACGACGAAATTAAACCTCAATCTCATATTGCAGTACTCCATATAGTATTAGACTTTGTATTGCTAAAAATAGGCTTTTTTTGCTTTGTTTCTTCTACAGTTCCTGACTTTAGCTGAACTTCCCCTAACGTTTTGAAAATGAAGGAATTGCATACATTTCGACACGGTAGATATCTAAGAGGCTATAAATATAAATTCGTAACACTCAAGGGTTACAGGAGTTCGTCCGTTTTCATCATTTTCTACCTTCAGATTGCTAGTAGATGAATGTTTCATTTCACACAATGATATAGAAATGTCAAAATTGGAGGAAAAAAAATTAACCCGAAGCAATCAAAAGGCATTAAAGTACACCATATCTAAACAAATGTAATTTCAAAATGCTTTTCACAATTGATACATGAAGGAGACACCAGGAATCACTGGCGTCTATGAGCCTCAGCATTGAAATACCACAAAGAGATGGTTCCGTGCCATCAGGCGGCAATAAATGAGCATGCAGGAATTTTCCTTTATTATGTTCTGCATGTAACCTCTCTGGAAGGTATATGGTAGAGAATAATGTATCCACCGTGGTCATGAAAGTGAATAAGAATTTGTAGTATCATAATCGAAATAATCACGTTTAAAATGAAGCCACAGGTAATTTAAAAAATATTGTCGTCTTCGCTAGGCATCAATAACTATTGAGAAATGTTTTTGTCTTTCCCAGCGTCTCACTACGAGATAATGTACAGCGACGAACTGTGGGTGGTGTTGGAGGGCCGCGGGAAGGTGCTTACGGGAACCGAAGTCCCTCATCCGGAACCCTATGGATCGAAGCAGGAAGTGGACGTGTACGTGGGATACGAGGATGGCATCTTCCGATACGGACACGTCTACTTCTTTGCCGTCAGAGCCTTCCACGGAAAGTGGAGCGCGATGTCCAACATAGTCCAGGCGGCTCTACCCCATCCCCACGTGGAGACCGAAGGGGGCAGAGATGGAGAAGAGGACTCCCTGGGGAACGTCCTCATGCATACCGGATTATCCCCCGAGGAATGGATAGGCATCATCGTCGCCTGCGTCCTCTTCGTTCTCCTCATGCTCTCCCTCGCCCTCTTCTGCTGCCTCCGACGCCGATCCCCCAGCAAAAAACCGCTCTTCCAAGGTATCTCAATATAAACTTATATCGTATCAGATTGAAAAAAAGCTATGTAATAATTTCTTGCAATAAGATGGCAAATACTAATGCAATATCAGTTTCTATCTAATAAACTTTTTTAAAGTCTGCAATATAGGATACATTTTTTTCTCTTGTCGCTATATCTATTGATATAATGGTGCAGAGCCGAAAAAGCGCGAGAGCTTCTTTTACGCGCTACCTACTATCCACACTTTTACATTTACTTTGGCTTTACAATTGAATATTTTCGAAAGAAACATTTGCCCGTATCCCATCTTGAAGCTACATCTATGCCGAATTTCATCGCACAACTTACCACAGTTTCAGATAATTTACGGGACAGCAGAGTGCAAAATAAACGAACATTACCAACGAATTTGTCTTAACCAATGCATTTATTTAAATGATAAAGAGGAAATTCGTACATGCCCCGGGTCACGGTAACTGCCGCAAGGTCTATGCCAAATGTCATTATTCAACTCCTAATATTTTTCGAGATGTTTTAGAACGTCCATCCCATCCATGATAGCAAAACCAATCTCCCCGATCTCACTTAGACGCGGGGCAGGGAAAAAAAAGTTCTTAGGAACCGTCCCGACTCGATCCATTCGTCTGCTGTCTCATGCACCTATTGGCTGACCATCAGTTGTCTGAGTCGAATCATCGGTGCCTCATGCAGAGACCTTCCTTTACGATGGGTGTGACTCATCTTTGTGAGATGCCACTTAGTGGCTTGGAGGTTCGACAAAACGAGCAGTGATATTGGTTTCCTTTTCTCTTTCAGACCAGCTCGGAGCCATACCATGAACTCTGTTTTTGACTCTTAAACATCCTAAACACAATTCTTAGTAACTTATAATTACACCCGATCCGGAGCTCGGATTTATCGTGACTCTTTCTCTCTCTCTCTCGGGTCGGCCCTTTTTTTGAAGTTAAATTTCCAGTTAAGTAACATCGGTAACAGTAAGGTTAAGAGCTAGTGAAATCTATTCCATCTCTTTACTTCACTTCCAGTTATACTTGAAACACCGCCTCATTTTCAGAATATTATGTTAAAAGAAAGGGTAGGGGAGTTGTTTTTTTAATGGGTCTTACATTTCTTTTAATCTGTCAGGTGAAGAAGATAAGGAGAAGGAGAAGCCGACGTCGGTGAGCACCATCTCGGGTCCGGAATTCATCCCAGCCAGTCAGTTATTGGAGGAACACGAACGGAGGAAAAGCATGGTGAAAGGAAGTTCATCTTCGGAACACCTACATCAAAACGGAGTACTCGGGGTCGGGGTCCCCGTCGTGAACTGTTACGAGAAGATGGCTGCTGGTTACCCTGGTGGTTACCAGGAACGGTTCTTCCTCCACGAGGAGTCCACTCTCTGTGATTCGCGGACCTCCCTTCACAGTGACTCTCGGAAGGTCCGTAACGTGACTCAGGTGTGATCCTCTCTGGGTGTGTGCGTGTGCATGTCTGCACCTTCTATTCCTCCCCCACCCAGCTTTAATATACGTCATGATCTCTTATTTTCTTTTTATCGTGTTTCTTGAATCTTGAGAGTTTCAGGTATATTCAGATATTTTTTTTTACACGACTGGCAAATCTTGGAAAAATTTGCACTTCTTTTATTATGAAGTCTTGCTGCATTTGATCCCCAGTGTTCCATCTGACCCATCTTGTCTTCAGTCATTTTACAAATGTTGATGGAAATTTTACTCTCTGGTGAACTCGCTCATGCCCAAGAAGACCAAGATGGATCAGTCATCGGTTTAATTCGTTGCTTTGGTGCTATGACAAGTGAACGGATCGAATTTCCCTTCCTGAAATGATTGCAGAAATCCAATTCAGCCCCTGATGATGAGATGAGGAATAAATTTACCAAATGAATTCTGTGATAAGCCAATCGCCTTTTTTTTAAACCCCTCTTAGAAACACGACGAGAAGAGCATTTCGAAAAAATACCTTAGTCAAATACCCCCTTTTGTCGCGTATTAAATAAAACGAACAATCGAGATGAAGCGAACCGAAAAAGAATAACTAAATCACAATTAAAAGGAGTTTGGATTTTTTTTTGTTGAGACGAATGAATAATGTGGTTAAAGCCTGAATATTCCCAGAACTCAACACTCATGGACTCCAGGGAATATATATTCCTGTAATCTTCGAAAACCAGCGGATTCACACGCGTACTGGGAGGTAGCTTCTAAAATTGATGTGGAGACGAGGCCAGACTATGAAACACTCCATGAGCAAGGGAGTAAACGCAACCTTGAACCTTGGACCCAGTCCTCTCTCTCCCTTTCATTCTTTTCCTGAATTAATTTTCCTAGTCATCGAATGCATAAGACGCATTGAAGCAGTGCAGTTTGCCTGAGCTGCACACGAAGGAACTGGGTTTCGTGCGACTCGAGATTCATCTGCATTCCTCACGAGCGAATTGACTTGTCCTCGATCAGGCATCCCTGCATGCAGCTTTCTGAGGACGTCGCCTCAGCCCACTCCTCTTTTCCATGACTAGGAACTGAATTTCGTCACGCTGACTGGTGAGCGAGCACATTCTGTAGTTTCGTCCTGCATTCTGGGCTCGATCAGAGGCTACTGACCGAATTTGGAGCGGGAGTCGCTTTCCGAACATCGACCAAGCATCCGTTTCCTCATGACGTATTTAATCGCAATCGATTGAACAAGCTAAAAATGGGGTCGCGAGAAGTCGTACAAATATTCAGCCGTGGAAACTGAACAAAGGAAAATAGAGAGGCAGAGTAAATCGCTCCCGTTTCATTTAAGCAGGGCATTGCCACAATTGTCGTGGATAGTCATGTGATGGATGACGTGAAGGACGGCGGTCACCTCCATTTTAAACAGGTACTAAGGATGGGAGGTAAAGTGGATTTCCATCCTGTCCGACTCGTTGCATCTCATCAGTGAATGAGAGATGAAGTTCCCGTTCGTGTTTCTGAGGAACCGGAGGTCCACTTCTGGTCATACGGGGGTTCAGCATGACAGGGATGGACGTGCAATTATTATTATTATTTATTTATTATTATTATTATTATTATTTTTATTTATTTATTATTATTATTTTTTTTTTTTTTTGGGGGGGGGGGATGCTTGTTTCACAGGAATCGTCCTTCAAGCTACTGAGATAAATCTGGCCTCTAATGCTCAGATATGTCTTGCCAGAGGGAGGTTTCTAATCATGGTCATGGCATGCCGTAACAGCCTAGGCCTCCGTGAAACGGTCAAAGAAGACCTTTTTCCCCCAACCTATTGGCTCCATGGTGAGGCAGACTTCATCACGTATGATTAATGATTGAAGATTCCATTGCTGTACGAGGGGAAAGGAGAGGCTATATGGCAATGAGAACTCCCCAGACGTCCTAGGTCTGGGGAGCTCCCCAGACATCTATTGGAACAACACCTAGCATGTTGTTCTCCTTGTGAAGAAGAAAAAGCAAGTCGGGAAAAGCCCAGTTCAGTTGCGCTTGGAGCATCATGACCTGCGTATACCGTACTGTAGGTCATTTTGCTTCCGAGATCCGCGAGTTAGAAATTCTAAGGGGAGTTTTATCTTCATCAATTGCTATTTTGCCGCTTGAGTCTCGAGGAAGAAGCGGCAAGATGACCCCAAACGTTTCGTACAGTCTCTACGTTTTAAAAGTTGATCGACGCATTCCAGCGCTTTTCGAGGGTGTTGCTGGATATCAAGCGTGAGAACGGAGGGGTCTGTTATTCGCATCGCGTTTGATAGCGGCAAGCACACCTTCATGTAGCCCCCCAAAAAATTTGAGCTGCAACGCGACGAGGTCGGCGGAGGGAGGGTGGGGGGAGGACATTGTGTTTCAAATAAGAGTGACAGTTCATATTTCTATGCATACGAGGGGGCATCTAAAAAGTTCTTTTTTTTCTTTTGGGTAGACATATATTTGAAGCTGACATGAAAATTTTCACCATATTCGGCAATTATTGTTTTTATGAACTTCTTTCTGTGTGCTTATAAAGGATCTGCTGAAGGAATATTTGTATTTAAAAAAAAAATTGATACTAGGGTTGTGATGAATTTTCTCACCCAGGAGTCAATCTTCCAACATCTTTGAGCAGATGGTCAGTAAAAAGCTGTTCACTCACCCACCTCACTTCTCCTCGCTCCTCCCTTGGCCTTGCAACCCTAGAATGCGACATCGTCCACAGTTCACTTACAATATTATGGACGTCAGACGAGAGCCTAATCACAGAAACCTTGAAAATTATTTGTACACTACTTGTACGCATTCCACAGAGTTCGCTTTTCGTCCGTACACCGTCATCGGTGGTGCATAGAAAGGAAGCTCACCGTTGGACTGGCCTTCGCTCTGCTTCTACCTTCTCTCTCCACACCACTAACCAACTTCTCGTTTAAAAGTATCTTCCACACTCAGAGTAATTTGAAATCAAAAGAAAACGTATTAATCCGATATCATCAATACCAGGTTGTTCTTTAGTGACTGGCGAAGGTAACTTGCAGAGAACGTAGACTGCAGAGTTCGTGACAACTGAACTGAACAGTCACTATCTGTCCCGCAATTAAAAATATTCAAGTATCCTCCTTTAAGATTTCTAATTGCAAGACATAGGGTGACATGCACCAATTGAGGGATCGGATTAGTTTAAAGACGAGATTAACACATTGGGTGACATGCACCGAATCCGTTTAAGCTAAACTAATCTGATTTCACAATGGTCCCCTATGGGAATCAGTTTAACAGAGCTAAACTTATTCCCATAGACGCCTATTATGAAAACGAATAAGTTTAAAGTTTAACGAATCTGGTGCATGTCACCCATTTACTAAAACACGTTTAAGAATGTGTTCATCTTTGACATGCACCACCGAAAATCAGATTCCATGAACACATGTTCATGTATTTCCATGAACACGTTTATCCACGATTTAAACACGTTTAAAGGCGGTTTGGTTGCACTTGGAAAGAGAACGATGAGTATGGTGCCAGGTTTACCATTGTCCGCACAGAGTTGGTGACGGTGTCCTTTGAAAGACGAAACCTTCTTCGGAATTCGTCCCTGGTGAACCATTCAAGAGGATTGAGCCGATCTCTGATAGTCCTCGAAAAATCATATAAGGTCCTGGCTGTTTGATTCAGGATCACATCAAAACTTCTCTCTCTTCATTAGTTTCCATTTCCACCCTCGCTAGATGATGAGTGACAAGAAAAATGAGTCCACTCCAGCAAAACAGCATGCTGAACTGCCTCTGAGAATCCGTTTAGGGAGTTAAACCTGCTATGGAACAAAGTTTATTTTGAAGATTAGTTTAAGAGAGAAATAAACTGATTTCATTTGGTGCATGTCACATATCAGTTTAACGATGAGTTCAATTCATTCTTAAACATATTTGCCTGGAATCAGATCAATGTAGCTCTTAAACCGATGTGGTGCATGTCACCCAGAGAATGGGCAGCTCAAACTTTCATCTGTGTACTCTCTTTCTCAGTCTACCTACCTATTACTAGGGTCGAAGTTTTTAACATTTCGGCAAGACGAAAAAAAAAAGTTTAGTCCTGCATATTGAGCGCACATGCTGCAGCTGCGCATGCCTGAAGACATGGACTATATTCAACAGAAATCCCAGATGGAGTATTTTTGCTAAATGAGGTCAAATGTCAGTATCCCCATATTGTTGCATTTTGCACTGAGACCTACCAGTATGGCATTGCCAGAAAGGGCAGAGACAGGCCTTAAAAAAAAACAACTAAATAATCTCTAGTTTAATTAAATTAAGAAACAATGAAGGAAAGTGGACCATGAAGTCACAAAATAGGCAATGCATTCATGACCACCTTTTTCTTGAGATTTAAGTGACTGAAGACGAAAAAACTTTGGGGGTCTAAGTTCCTTTATGGCGCAGAGCAGTAGCTCAAGCTTAATACAAATCGGCTAAAGTAATAGTTGACGGTATGTTGACTGCACTTGAAATTATCCTACTGTAATATCTAACGCGAATGGTAGAATCTCGGTATGAATGGGCAGAGGAAAAAAAGAACATGATACATTGTCCGCTGCCCATTCATACCAACAGCAGTTCCTCTGACAAACGAGGTTCTCACAACCGGAGAGAGATGGCGTAAATCGTAGATGCAGCAAGGGAAGCCCTGAGGCCAATGGAAGTTGTTTCCAGAGCTTTTCTTACGGTACCTTATCATTTAGGGGAAAACTCAAGGGAAGACATTGAAATTTCTCTACATTTTTTAAGATAAACCAAACTCACTGAGACTCGGCAATTCTGGAGGAAGGGTGTTAAAACTAGGAACTTGACTTCACGCGTTGAGGATTTAGGGGGAGACTATGAGCAAAATATCGCAATACTTGTATACACATATTGCATACAATGACTATATCCCAAATTACTCCTATATTGGCGACAGAAACCTGAAATTTCGCATGGACACTCAGAAATGACAAACCTAGAATTTGTTAAGACCGGTTTTGATTATTTTTTTAACTACTGAATTAGGGATCTAAGAGGCAACAGTCATCAAATTTCCGAATAACACGACAGAAATGGTTCATTTTTGCATGGAGAAATTGGAAAATTCACTTTTTTCCTCCAAACAATTTGTAGCTGCATGTTTTATTATGGAGTCCTATGAATTTGTAGAAATTTGTTTTTTTTTTTTTTAACCGTGGCTTGGGAAATGCCAGATGTACGAATATTTTAGTTTTTTGAGAATATCTCAGAAACCGCTGGAGCGTGATGTAAAAATTATGTTGCAAATATATATTTGGAATACAAGCTCTTCAATGGTACAAACGATTTTACTTTCTGCAAAGCACCTCCATTTTTATTTTTTGCTCATAGTCTCCCCTTAACGTCAAGTATGGGATCTCTACATCTGACAGAAAAAGGTGAGTCTGACTTATCTATGAAAGGTAGATATGGCATGATATAGAGATCGCCTGATGGATTTTATGACACGCTTTCAGAGCAAAATAACTAGTTGCGTTGGAAAAGAATTTACCTAGTTAAAATCTGTCAAAGGAAATTAAAGCCTCACAAGAGACTATCGAAGGAAGGTGAAATTCGTTGGATTACTTGCAACCAGACCAACGAAACTCGTTCTTCCAGAAATGATATCAAACTGTGATTTGACAGCATTCCCCTTCCATAGTTTGAAGGCAAAAATAAACACAGGCTAACATCAAAGTCTTTCTTGTTCTAGCAACATTCCACACTCAAGATGTGATAAAAAAAGATGTGATTAAGGAGTATGGTCAAACTTTTTCTCAAGTTTATTGGAAACATTTTTCTTTTCGTCCAGGTTTGTTCACGGGGTGTGGTGACAACAGAGTCTCAGTCTCTCATCCACATGGAATGGGAAGATGATCAGATGTCTTCACACGAGCGAACACATATAAAAAAGAACCAACAAGAAGGTTCCTTGTTTTAGGATATGACTGAACCTTCACCTGAGAGCATAAGACATCCACATACTTATAGAAATCCTAGACTCAGAATAAAAAATTCTTCATCTTTTCTTTTATGATATGCACTAGAAGAGAAACAGGAAGTCCTTTTTGCGTTTTCTTGGGGGAGGATATTGCTGCGTGATCACCACCACTTGCATTTGTGCAGTGCTTTTATCACTTCAGGTCCACAACATGATTAAAATCGTTCTCATCAGTCATAACAGTCACAAGACTCTCAACTGCTTTCCCAAGATCTCCTGCTCTGTGTAATAGATCCTCCATCTGCTGATGGGCCATGGATGAGGCTAGATTGGATGGTGCAGGTGGAGGTGCTGGTCGATCTCCATAGTCCACCTGATGCAACTCAGAACCATTGGTGCCATTCCTGGAATCTCCATCTTGGTGACCTGCATTCATCACAGCAAAGTCAACATCCATGTTTCATACATCAAATCATCATCAATAGAGGCAGGAACTGAGGGCAGGCACATTTTGGCCCCATAAACATTGATACATACCTCTGTGCCTTGGGCTTATCTGATACAAGGCCTTGGAAGGAGTTACAACTACTAGGTTGTGGATAATAGTGGGATGAATCATGGGATGAAGAGAAACTTTGTCTCACATGAGCAGAAGGCATTCAATATTGTTAATGACAGGATGCAACAATCCTGTATGCAACAACATCAGAGAGGCCCAAGAAGGCAACAGACTGCTGAACCTTATCTTTTTTAAAACTTTCTTTCATCACATTGAGGAATGTAATGGAATGTTTTACATATACAATTTTAAGTTCAATTCTGCTAGTGGAGTTCTTAGGTAATTAGAATCTGAACAAGTCTACCCATAACACTCTCAGATGCAGGTACTAATGCAAAGGGCAAGGACATGCCAAGACCCCCCCCAAAGAAAAATTTTGGGAAAATACCTATTGGATAATAATCATCTCAATATATGCATTAAAAGGAAGTATTAATATTGTGATTCACAAAATATACTATATACTATACATACCATGGTGTCCATTGACAATCCTAGGAGAATCAGTGGCAAGTTGTGATGCAGTCACATGCCGATGCTGCAGAGTACCCATCTTGTTCACCACTGGATGCAAAGACTCTTCTGTCAATGGAGGCTGTAAACATGGACAGTCAACTAGTTGGAGTTTCAGAACTATATGATGATGGCATACAGAAGACAGATGAAAGGTGACAGGAAAGAGACCTGATCGAGGAGCTGGCGTAAACGCTGAAGTTGACCTTCAAGTTGACGGTTGTGATCCTCCAGAATCTGCATCCGTGCTTCCAGGCGACCTTTGTGCTGCCGCAACAGTTGTGCTTCTGCCATTAGATCTACAATAGGAAAGAAAGGAGAATTGTCCTGAAATTTGCATTCATCATATATCACATCAAATGCCAAACAGCCTGTTTGGCACCAGAATCAAGCTCAACAGGTGGTATACTGAGCTTCTTGTGGCAAAGATTCCCAATGTAGTCTGTCAACCTTGCACAAGGCCAACCAACTGGTCTCTTGCCAGTCATTTTAGATTGGAGGAATCTACTTGAGAGTCTCTCAGGAGGCATGCAGGAGATGTGAACAAGCCAATGGGCTTGGAATCTCTCGAACTTAAGAATATTTGCCTGACCTGGAGGTTCTCAAGGATGGAGCCATTCACATCCCCTCACTCATCTCATCATGACACCAGTCACCTGCCACAAAAACCTCATTTGGCAGCTTGTATCAGTGACATAATACTTTCAGTCATTACCCACAGTTCAAGACCATAGATGAGGGTAGAGAAGCAAATGCTCTGGAAAACCAAAAGCTTACTCTCTTTGGAAATGTCAAACTTGGCAACCATAGTCCTCAAGAATTCCTGAAAAACTGCAGAAGCCCCTGGAGATGCAGCTGTTGATCTCATTTTCATATCAGCCATCACTCAAGAACTAGACCCCAAGGCACTTAAACTTCTCCACCTATACCAGTGGGGCCTCCAATATGTCAGGCACACAGTTCAGAACTTCTGAACAGGGCCATAACCTGCATTTAGGAGAAGCTCAATTTCATTCCAGTTGCAGTACATTCCAAGTTGAACCAGTCGATCATGCCCTGAAGCTCTGAAGTCCATATTGAGCCAAAAGGATGGCATCATTGCCAAAAGAAAATATTTTTACTTCAATTCCACCAATGCTGAATTCCTCAAGGCCCAGGCAAGGAAAGAGATTGCAACCTGACAGCCTGAAACCTTGACTAACTTGACAGTCAACACACAAGCATTGGACTCTCACTCTAAGCACTGCTTCAGCAGCCAAGGCCTTTCCATTATGATCATTTCTGATTCAGAGAGAGCATGTTGCCTGGTTTTCTGGAGCCTTAAAATGATTTGCCAGAACACCTTGTAGGCATTACAATAGTAATAATCCATTTCTTTGTGCCTCACGTTTTGCTTCAGCCACAGCTTGTGAAGCAGTTTTTTGTGTCTCTCTGTAACAAGCCCACAAAGGGTCCAACCCATTGCACATATATGCAGGGTTAGATTGCCTCCTTGGTGGCAACAGCCAGCTGTATTTCTGGTGTCCACCAAGCAGTCTGCTTGGTGTTACCATGATCTACTCTGATTTGCTACTTTCACTGAGGCAGCTGAAACACCAGATTGAAATAGAACCCATTCAGTCTTGATATCAGAAATTTGGTGAGGCAGTTGGGAATAATTTTTGCTGATCATCCTTGCCAACTTGTCATGAGTTTTCTCGTGAAGAGCTTCCTACCTCACCCTTTTATAACACCTTATAAAATTTACTATTCTCATATTATCAAGAGGATACTCAGAAGGATCAATTCATTTAATTGGACACTTGTTTAACATTGCAAAGTTCATATTCTGTTCATAATGATTCTTTGAATTTTGAATGGAAGACCAAAAGAGTATGAATTACAAACATGGGATACTGTTATCTTGCATTTCTGGGTGTTTTCCTTCTTTTTTTTTTTAAGCTTCTTTTCTTGACTAGTGGGGGGCATGTGCTTGCCCCCTGATGTTACGCCAGAGTGGGATACTGATTTAAACTGATACAGAAAATGTAACAACATGCAGAAATGTTTCCATATTGCTACTATTCCTTGATGCCAAAACTACAAATACAACACAAATTTAACACTGCTTTAGCTGCATATGCACTCAGAGAAATTACATCTGCACTAAAGGATCTTTCAGACCTTTATTCTAAAACTTAAGTTGGTCTATGCGACAATGACCAAGAATTTATTGTTTTCATAAAAGCTTCAGTCAAGAAATGCATTTCAAGCTTCTTATTGATGTCATTCATGAGAACCTATCAGCTCACAGGAAACTGACCAGGAAAGACTGTGAAGTAGGCATAAATAATATTCAACTGGTTAAAAAATAATTATGAAGTGGAGGATGGGGGTTCTCACCTTCTTCATTGGTCCCAAACTCATTCTCACTGTCCAGACCTGACCCAGTTGATCCACCTGGAAGTCCTGGATATGAATAAGGTTTCTCAGGGGCATCCTGGGCTCTCACAGCCCTCAGTCGATCATATTCCTCAAGTAATGCCTGATTCTCAGCCTCCAGTTCCTTGATCATTGCAGTGAGTTCCTCCTGCTGTGATGCATCAATCTCTTGCAGAATCTGGATTGGGGAAGTGACTCGATGCCTTGTTATGGGCACAGTGGGTGGAATGTCTTTATGTTCAATGCTACGTTGCCCAAGGGATGCACAGTATTGGGCTATCAATGTATGCTCATCCTCCCTAAAGATGTAAAGGGAAATAAAGAGAAAACATCCCACATCATAAAATGATAATTTAACATACAACTGTGATGAGAAATGCAATCTGGATGCAGGCAGCTATTAAGATCACATATTTAACTGGACCTTGGTTATGGAGACTCCACAGGTAACCAAAACATTCAAGTGTAAGGTCTACATTCAGGCCCAGTGCAATATGAGTTGCAGTAAAAAACATTCAAAGATGTTCAAATTTTTCTTTTCGATTTATCTTTATGGAAATAAAAGCTCAGTTTTCATAATCTACTCTCCACTAATTCCCTACTGTTTGATTCTTTTTTTTTTTTAAGGTAGAGCAGCCATCATTAACCAAAATGCATACCTGCAACAGGTAGCAGGAAGAAGATAAATCATGTCTAGTTGGAACAAGAGGGACACTATGTCCACTAGAGACTAAGTTAAAAGAGAAGGAAGTGAAGCCAAAACTGCTTTTAATATATCAAGGGATGAAAATGAAATATGAATAATAACAGGAAAAAAAAGAATTTACAGCTTTTTGCCATTATACAGGGTGACACAAAAGTTCTGTACACTTTTAAAACCATTTTTGGTTCTGAGCTAACATTTTCGAACATGTTTGGTTTGGTTTCTATATAAAGCTTAAGGTACGAGGGACTTAGTTTCATCAACACTTTGTGAACCCCTCTTAGTCTTGTCATGTCATTGTCCAATGAAGATCGTCGTTCTGCTGTTATCAGTTTGCATGAAGCTGGGAAGTCTCTCTCTGAGATCTTCTGGCTGCTCCAGAACAACAGCTACAACAGAATCTTCATGAAACATACTATCAAGTGGTTCCTTGAGACAAACTCTACTGAGGATCATCATTGATTGGGCTGACCAAAGTCTGTCAACCACTGCCTACATCAAAAGAGTTCCATCTCGACTTCATTGCTAGCCGAAGCATTCACTGAGGAAAATTGATCAAATGGTAAAGATAAATTGCAAATCGCTCCAGTGAATGATCAAGAACAAGCTAAATCTCCATCCTTTCATGCTCCTTAATGCTTAAGTTCTCATGGATAAAACAAGTCTGCAACATCTGCAGTCTCTGCTCTGTCAGTTCGCAAATGGCGGCAATCGCAATATCCTCTTTTCTGATGAGAAGATCTTCACAATCAAGCAATCCTTTAATTCTTAAAATGAGGGTGCACACCACTGGATTTAGTGCCTTCTGGCATAAAGATCAATGTGACTGTCTACTGTGACCTCATCCTGGAGGGTACAGTAAAGCCCTGGGCCAAACAGTCTTTTTGGAACCAGAAAAGGACTTTTCAATAGGACTCTGTGCCAGCCCACAAGGGAAAGATCACTCAGGCCTACTGCAAAGAAGAATTTCCTGACTTCATCACCTAGGAAGAATGGCCTCTGTATAGTCCCGACCTGAACCCATTGGATTTTTCTGTTTGGAGCATCTTGGAGAACAAAGCCTGTGCTACTCCGCATGCATCGGTCAAGTTCCTGAAGCGTTTCCTTCAAACAAGATGACTCAAAATCTCCCAAGAAACGCTACATGCTGCAGTTGATGCGATTCCAAAAAGACTTCACGATTGTGTGAAAGCAAAATGTGGGCATTTTGAGTAATTTTACTGGTATTATCTGTTGAAATAGTTGTAGTTTCTAATAGTGCAGTCCCAATTTGTTAGCTGTTTAAATAAGTTGCAAAGTTGTGAAAAAACTGAGTGTACAGAACTTTTATTTGTGTCACCCTGTAGTTGCTTCTCTCAGTGTAGTGATTTTTCCTGATGTGAGACTGAAGCCCACATATCAAATCCTGCTATGACAATGAACCTTCCAGACTGAGAAATCTATCATTTCTTCTTCCCTCCCCAGAACCAGTGTCCTGGATTTACATTTCTTTGTTTCTAACTCTAGAGATTGTGGTAATGCAAAATTATCAGGGAGAAGGACAGCAAGATTTGAAGAAAATGATAAATCTATGCCAGAATGAAGGGAGAAGAAAGATTGCAGGGAAACTAACGAGTCAGTGATGGGGCTGCCCTGGGATCGGAGCTCGACTTCAGCCAAGCGAGAGGCATACATCTCAAGACGAGAGTGAACTTCCTGTGGAGGAAGAGCATTATTCCCATTGCTTGAATTCCCATGGTCTCTGGGCATTGTGTGGGCATTAGGGGTGGCTGTCTCAGATGGAGTTGGAGTGGCTGGCCCAAGTTGTGGGCTTGGAGTCCCTTCTGTCCCAGAACCAGCATCTGATGATGACCCACCACCTGCAACTGGAAGATAACCCATGCGCGGGTGCCTACGAAAGTATCGTTTCGACTTGAACTTGTTCCTTAGAGTGCGGGTGAAATCTCTCATGTCCTCTCCAGATGTGCTCTGTCAGAGAGATATTAATTGCATAATTTCAACAGTCATAATTTCAAGAGTTTAAATATAAAATACTCAATAATACTAGTTGAACTTAGCCAATACTTGTAACCCCTTTGCTTTAGAAACCACATCCTAACTAATGGGGCTATGAGCTTGTATCTTCAGTCAATCCTATGTTAATGTGATCTCTCACCTCCACTTCTTTCAATGTCAATTGAAATGCAAATGACTAGTCATGAAATGGAATTTAGGAAAGATTATGAATTGAAGTTCCCAAGAATTCCCAGAAATACATTAATTCCTGTGTGTACAAATCAATCATGAAGGAGGCAACTCACAGCTGTGCAGTATTCCTGCATGGGATGAGATGGCTTGTGGTGCTTGGATATCCGTCCTGAGAAGAAGCAGCTCTGACACATGTCAAAGTTGAAGCACTTCAAGCATCGATACCTGCCATGATAAGAAAAGGCTATGAATAAAATATATGAGATTCAACAAGATCAATCAATGAGAGCAGTTTTATGACATACCGGAACCCAACAATGGGGTACTCCTTGCAAACATTACACTTGGCCTGATGCTTAGCTGTCTCAGATGCAGCAAGACGGTGAAGGACTGGAAGCCACACAACTGACTGGGGTTCTCGTTGAACCCATGTGACAAAGTGGCTCACCTAATACACGGAACAATGATGGAAACCAAATAGAAAAACATGAATAATCTCATTTGGATGAACATGAAAATTCCATCTGATATTTTAATGGAAAATCAAAGTCATACAGTTGGAACTTAAAGACACTTTTAACATTTGTGGAATTTTAAATCACCATACTGGAAGCAGGGTGGGGTAGCAGAAATGGAAATGATATAAATAATAAAAATTGTAATGGTAAAGTGATAAGATTTTTTTGAAAAAAAAAAAAAGGAACAGACTGTTATAGAACCAAATGAATAAAAAGTTGATTGCTTGTGCATCTTCCCTTATGGCAGTCTCTTCTGACACATATATGGTTGAAGGGGTGATTTAAATTAAATTGTAGCATAATTTCATTGGAGACCAAAGAATAAAATGTTGCATAATGTTGCAGCTCCCTCCATGCTCATATTCTATTAAGTGTTCACTCAAAAAGGATCAATAAAATATCTTGGCTGAAAGAGGAATGCTAAGTTTTATACAGGGTGGCCCATCTGAATTCGTCGCATTGTCTTTGCTGTAGGCACCTCACTAAGAAACTCCTTTCTAAATGCATGCTGTCACTATTACTAGTTGAGTTTTGATAGGTTCCTCTACAATAAAGATTCTCTGTTGTAAACCTAATAGAGGCATTTTGAACCTGCAATAGAAAAAAGGGTTATTTAGTAAAAAGAAATGGACTTTTTCCTGTTTAATGCATTTTATTATACGATCTTATCTTGAATGGTTATCCTGTAATTTCATTTTGAAATTGGGTACATTTTTGGCCTACCCTGTACAACCAAAAATGTAAAACAAATGTGGATAAAATTTTAATGATGGAAACAATGTATGAACATCATCAGAAATGAATATAAAAAAGGGAGTGAAAATTAAAAAAAGAAACAGTAACAGAAAAGGAAATTTAGTACATAACCCAATTGGTGGGAGAGAATTTTTCAATGATAGCAGCAAACCTCAATGGTCTCGCGATTTGGCCCAGCGATGGAAAAGCAGGACTTGACAGAGGGTTCAATGTTGGCCCCACCAAAGGATGCAGCCTCCCCAAGAAGACGAGGGACTTGGAGACAGTCATGGAGCAGAAGGCCCAGTTTCCTCTGGTCAGCCTGCCGATCTGGATCCGCAATCAACCGGAATAAATCTGCAAAAGTAATAATGAAAATGTGAGTGATGAAACAGATTTGGCTAAGGGATGATTTGTAAAACTAAGATGGGAGATGGACTGACATCGGAACTTCTCATCAACATGTCCTTTTGACAAGAGGGTCAAAGCCACCTTGAATGACAGGACCCGAACCTGACCACTCCGACCACTGAGAGAAATGTAGACAAAAAAATTCTCACAAATATATTCATGCAAGTGAAAATGAGGACGTAAGCAACAAATATCATGGTGGCTTAAATCACAAAATAAACTTCATATGACCACAGGTGTATGAAAAATATAGAGGAAGAGCAACTCCAAACACCCACCAGAGGGAATTGCTTAGCAAATGTACATGCCAGGGCTAGATTCACTAGATAAAGGCATGGACCTATCTGGGGGCCAAAGTTACTCTTTGCCTCTACTCCAGGCTTCATATGAGGGATGTTCAATAAGTTGTGACTGTAACAAAAAAATTTCTTTATTTTTAGCAACTGGAATGTATAAACTTCAGCCCCCTTCAATACAATCCTCGCCAACATCAAAACATTTTTAGAACCTCCTGAGTTACTTTTGATATCTATTTTTTTATAGGCTTTTTGTGATATTCCTTGATGTACAGCCTTGCTTAGATCTTCTATTTGATGAAACTGTCTCCCTGCAAGGTCTTCTTTGAGAGTAGAGAATAGTCAGAAGTCCAGGAGGGAAATCAGGGGAATAGGGTGGATGGGGAAGGACATTGACTTCATTATTTTCTTCAAAAAAAGCCTCTGGGTCACCCATGCCTTATGGGTGCATGCATTGTCATGATAGAGTCAAATTCTGGTGGTCCCACTAAGAGGTTGTTGGAATTTCATCTCACCCAAAACCGTGATACTTCTGAAAATATTTGAAACTAACAAAATAGGTCTAGACCCTTGAAAAAAATTTTTTAGGAAGATTTAGCTTCAATGCAAAAAAAGGGGGTTAAAAAAAAACTTCTACGAGAAGAACCTGTCTTTTTGAGGGACAATCATTACTTCTTGGACACTCTTCATATGCCCTGTCATGTGACAGGGCATGGCAACTAACCCTAAATTGGGAGAAGGAGGTGATGAAGATAAAGAGGAATTGGACAACCAGTAAGCATACCTATCATAGATGTTGAGGATCCAGTTGAGGCAGAGATCAGTGCAGAGGATGACATTGACGAGATTGTGATGCTCAGTGGCAGCAACCTGGTATATGGAGTGGAGGACATTGACCATCTCTGGCACAGAGATCAACTTGTCGTTCATGGCACGTAGACCATGCCGATCACATGACTCTATCACTGTAGACAGATTCACTAGATCCAGGCAGAGCTTCTTCTGCAACAGGCGCAGTTTCATTGCTGTGCGGTAGGCAGAATAACGAAGTAAGTTCATATCTGACAGTTTGTCCATCATCACTCCCATCACTGGGTGGTCCCAATGTGTTGTTTCTGTCTCATGGCTGGAAGACACAAGTTGACATTTTGCAAATACAAAGCCAGAACACAGTATAAGCATAAAACTCTAGCGAGCAAAGCTGTAGCTTAGGGCTACAGCTAGAAATAAGGAGAGAAGCAGGTAGCCATGTAATGAATTGTACAAATGGCAAATAGTAAGTCATGGCAGCACTTCAAATAACAGAGAAATTTAAAATTTTATTTATTTCACAAATATGTCACTTTCACAGGTCTTCCATGAAGCCAACCTACACAGGCTTCTGAGAGAAGCTTTATGCCATTAGCAGCATTTGTGTTCACACAAGTGATGATGCACCTTGGAACAGGATCCAGTCCTTCCAGGGTTTATGTCACTTGCTATACAGGGCTCCTTCATTTTCAGAAACACATCAAGCTCACATAGATTCATTTCAGAGCACATGATTTATGTTTCAGTGTTTTCCACTTCCAATTGCACAGGACTGACTTTACACCTCTGGCAACAAGATATCAAGTATCATCACCTCCTTTGTTAATGACTCAACAGTCTCCACAATATTTAATGTCATGCTGTTGGAGATGTAAAGACAATTCTGTACATTGGGGGGTGGAAAAAATTGGAAACACCCACCATATTCTCTAGACATGAGTCCATGTTACAGATTTCTGAAAAGAGGGGACCCTTAGGTAGTAAGAAATGGAGAATTCCAAATTAACTAGATACAGTTTTAGGGTGCATCTAACATCAACAAAAAATGGATTTCCTAATGGCACATAACATCACCCAGAACTTTGACCAAGTATTTTCAACAAGCAGGGAGGCTACATTGAAGGCCTGTGAAATTACGTATCTGTAGAATAAATACACTTCAAGTTAGAGATGCTGCCATGGCATCATATGGCCCTCATAAAAAATCCAAAGAAACACAAAAAATCAAGTACTCTAGGGTAGTGGTTCTCAACTTCCCTTTTACTCACATAGAATATTCATGTGTTTGGTGGGCTGCAGCCCACTGGTTGAGAACCACTACTCAGGGGCATGAAGAAGAATGAATATGACTTGCACCAAAAAAATGTGGCTTTTCTGGCAAGTCAGAACTACAGTAAGTATCAAATGTCTGGAATCAATGGAAAATTTTACATTTTTAAAAGTTGCTCTATATGTCCACCATTTTGTAAAATACACTGTTACTAATGGTGAAGCCACTCCTGATGGATGTTTTCCAACATGGCCCTGCGACTTGATGTACCCCCAAAGGAAATAATCAAGGGGTGTCAGGTCTGTAGATTTTGCAGGCCATTCGACTGTCTCCCATACAGCCAATCCAGTGAGGGAAATGTTTGCCAAGCCACTGGCAAACAGAAGCCATGTAGTGTAGGGGAGCACCATCTTGCTGGAATCTTGCAGGAGACATTTATTTGTCTTTTTTCTTTGAAGAGAACATTACAAGTGATGCATACTTGGTTATGCTAGAAATTCTGTGGAGCCCAAAATTTGCAAAATTGGAAATCAATCCAGACTAATTGTAGTTCCAGCAAGATGGTGCTTCCCCCACTACGTGGCTTTCATTCGCCAGTGGCTGGATGAACATTTCCCTCATTGGATTGGCCATAGGGGAACAGTTGAATGGCCTGCAAGATGAATGGACCTGAAACCCCTTGATTACTTCCTATGAGTAACATCAATTTGCAGGTATTCTTAAAACTAGCTAATCCACAGGAACTACAGCAACACAGTCGCTTGTTGTAGTACAGTGACACTGACCATGTTGGAAAACATCCAGCAGGAGTGGCTTCACCGGTTGGAACAGTGTAAATTACAAAAAGGGACATATAGAGCAACTTTTAAATATATACAATTTTTTCATTGTTTCCAGACATTTGAAACAGTGTACATGAGATTTTTACATTTTCTCTATTTTTTATCTAAAAATATATATGCAATTTGCAGGAAACTTTATCTCTCTGCACATCTTTGCTGAAAATAAACCTTATGGAAATGATACTATGAAGGTCATTCCAAAAGTAATGCCTCTAATAATGTCTACTGCAAACTACTGGTGACAAATGGCTGAAAATGCACATGCAGAAGCATTCAAATGTTCACCCATTCCTTTGAGTTTCATGATTCCTATCCAGAAAGCTCTATCACTGTGGCAATTCAAATTGGTGAAGTGTGACAACACCCATCACAAGCAGGCAGCATTGAATGAATTCCTTTCAGGTGAAGGAGAACTTCCAATAGATGCTCATTTCCCCAAAAAGGTTTTTCTTATGGTGATGCATGTGAGACTCACTGTATGAACCTTCATGAGATGATGAAGAGTGTCTATCAGAGGTACTCCTTTACTTGAGCAGAATTCGATTGCTGGTCTTGGCATCTCAATTCAACCATATTGAATCACCAAAGTAATGGAGCTTCCTGGGTGGAACTCATGAACTTTACAAAGAATGGGTGGACATTAGAATGTACCCACATTTGCATTTTCAAGCTTATGCTGCCAGCAGTTTGCAGTAGATAAAATCATTGGCATTACTTTTGTGGTGATTCTCATAGTTCCATTTTGAGATGAATAAAATATAATAAATCAAGGTCTTTTGCTTAAATATCACAGATGCATCCTTCTGGATGATGGAATGTGCTTCCAAAGCAATACTTTATGCCTTCTGCACATATAATTTTTATTTGCTTTGGATTTGTAAATTTTAATATGAGAGTTAAAATACAAGCTCAAGAAAACATTAAAACAATAGGATCACACAAATGCATTGGGTCAAAAATGTTTACACAGACAATATAGCATTCTGAGTGCCACAGAGGAAATAAGCTAAATTAAAAGGCAATCAATACTGCAAAGACAATGATCAGTATGATGATCTATAGGTAGAAAAAAATCTGGCTTTCCTACTTGATGTAATAAGGCACATTATTTGCAGCAACAGCACGTTCCCAAGGATGATCTACAGAGGAAGAGAGGAAGGCCATGGAAGACACAGAAACATGTTCAGGTGGTTGAAGTGGCTCGCTCCTTCGTGCCATGTAATTCGGCACTGAGATCCGATTCAGGGACCGCTGACTGCTGCGGTACACTGATGGCATCAATGGGGGCTCACCCACACTCATACGACGCCACCGGTCCTCCATCCCTCCACGCATCTGATGCCATCTATTAATACCAAAAATGTAACATGAAATTTGACAATTTGACAAATCTGGCAAAGACAGCATAGTTCTTTTAATCACAATTATAACAAACTTTTCACTAGTCTAATTTTTCATTGTGCAATAATTGATTAGAAAATTTAGTCACCAGTATTGAAAATATAATGCTTCATTCTGAATAGTATGCCAAAAAAAAGTGTCACATTTGCCTCAGGTAAAATCAACACGGGAAGTAGTTTACCGCTGATTGAGGTCATCAAGACGAGCAGATATGCTGGGTGTGAGGCTCACACTGGAGCCCCGCAATCTTCCAACTTGGTCATTGGCATCATCAATACACTTCTGCACAGGACCCAACTGTTCAGCCAAGCTCTGCAAATAAATTTGATAAGCATCTATAGACCAAGATTTGAATCATAAATGTCTGAGGCAACACATGCCATTGTGATGACTCCTAGACCTTATTCAATAATTTTGAATAAATCAGGTCTGCTAATATGATTCAACTCAAAATTAATCAAAGCTTCAAGAGCAATGAAGAATTATGATGAATTTTTTTAAACAAGCATTCTCTGGCACAATCAAAGAAGAAATTACTGATTTGCTGGATGGGTAAGGTACAAGTCACACCCAGAAAACTGCTAGCTATAATAAGGGTGAAGGGATGGTAGGACACTGTCTGAAATGCTTATTTCTGCAGTCTTTTCTTTTTCACACGAGACATAGGTGCTGCATGGTGTGGTCACAATGTTGGGATGGTTTGGGTGATGGTCAGAACCCATACATTTCCTTCATTTTCCTTCCTTCTTCCAAGATGAAGATCTTCTTTGTTTTTTTTTGTTGAGATAAATTTCCACAGTAGAACAATGGTAAATACTCATGACCAATAAAATGACCTTGACCTTGACAGAAAAATCAGCAGAACTCTCTCAAAAAACTAAATGTCTCTCAGCAACTATTACTTGGATAAATATGTTCAACACATCAATGTATTCTGCATTTGATAATACATTTAATGAAATTGGCTTCAACATTTAATTTAAATTCCAGATGTTGCTGGGGAGAAGCTGCTTTGCAAACTACAGAGAGTACAGTCAGAGAATACTTGTTAATTCTATCATCTCTCTAATATTGGATCCTACCCAGGCAGGCTGATACACTAACCATACATAGCATGGATCTGTGTGGGGTCTATATGCTGAAACTTAAAAGCAATTGAGCACAATCAAGAAATAAGCCAATCTCAAAAATGCTCTCATAATGCCATTCCATCAATAATGACTACTTATAATATCCTCATCATTCCATTCATCAAGACTGACATAATGGTGGATCATAGTGAACTGGTAGATAATTCCTTTGCATCATTAAGAATTTTGTGCAGTTCACCAGATTCAGAGATAATATATTAGCTATTTATAATTAGCTGAATCTAGCAACAAAGCTTTTAAACAGTCCACAATAGGGGAGATGAAAGGAAGGAATGAAAGGAAACCATGAAAGAAAGTACAGGCCCACTACCTGTATGCAAAACTAGAGTTAGGGAACAGAGAGAAGTGAATTTTCAGACCAACACCCTTCACCAGGTGGGATAGGCATAACATCTGCAAAATTAAATTTTACCATAAAGCATTTGTGACATTGGCTTCTGACATCTCAACAAATTATTTGTATGATGTAGGACATTGGCCTAAAAATTCCTCTCTCTTTGTTCCTCAGCATTTAGGCCTAGGTGTAGAAAGGAGGAAAAGTACTGGCTGCTCATGATTTATTCACAATTAATTTTTTCCATGAATTCATAGTTCCATTTAAAATAAAGCCCCAAAATCTTCAATTATTTAAAATACTTCTTTAGAGCATCCCATACCCTCATTTCAGATGTGAGCTCAAGAGCCCGCCCAGGATCAGCAAGGGCATCCAGGTGTGAAGAGGAGGACTCAAGGGAGGCTAGTCGCTGATGCGCCTCATCCATTGTCTTGTACAGCATGTGCACCTTCTGTTAGGGAATGCATTACACACCATCAAATAAACAGAGTATGCACTCAGTTCAGCTAAATAAACAAAGCTTCAAATGTGAAACCAGGGGCAGAGTCCCCCTTCCTCATCTGACAACATACTCTTCTCCATCTTGAATCTTTTCATCCTGACAAAAATCACTACTTAGAAGTCAATCACAATAAATTATATAATATTCAAAATTATATGTATCTCACAGCTTAAGCCTTCTGAAATACTTTAACTAAATTTGACAAATCTAACAACTCCCAAGGGTGGTATCAAATTCTCACCAACATTTCACTGCTGTTCCTACAACCCTTCAATACTACAAAGCATTCAGTATTTCCCCCTGATATAGAATGACAGTTGTCTTAGATACAGCAACGTAGCCAGGATTTCACCAATGGGGGGGCTAAACGGAATGGTGGGGGGGGGCTTGAACCAAACTTGGGGGGACTGAAGCCCCCCTTGCAACACCACTGCCCAGATAGCTTTCAAATGCACTAACACTAAAACTACCAGAGCAGTCAAAAGGAGCAGCTACTTTGACTGCTAGCTGTTTTTAACAGGCTGACCATCATGGGGCACACTGGTGCACCCCGTGTTTCACTTTCTCCAAGGGATGTAAACATGTATTTTGGCCCAGGAAAGTCACCAGGCCAATATGGCTGTGGCAGTCAATGTGGTAAATGCAACTTACTCTGCTTGTCTGGCAACTAAAGCCCTGTGCATTTTTTACTTTTGACTTTTCCTGTATCTAAGAATTCAACATCCTGATACAGCAGTAGACCCAGGGTTGCAAAATCAACGTAGGTATAACATGTTATACCTAGAAGTACTGGAGCAGTCATTTTGACCACCACAGAGAAAACAATTTATTTGGATTTGTGAGCAACTGTCTAAGCTACTGTGAGTCTGTGTCCAACCTACCATCTTCATGCGTTCGACCTGCTTTGATCACATGACCAACCTGCTGCAATCTTGTGACTGACTTGCTCTGAAAATGTGCATTTGCTTGAAGCTTAACTTCAAAGCTATGCACATGTCTTGTATGTGCTACAGTAGGATACTTTTTCAGACAAGTTTAGATTAGTTTTTCCTGCAACTTATCTGCTGTATCTGTATCTGTGTATTTGCAGTGAAATTTTGTGCAGTGGAAATGAATAGACCAAGAAAGCAACGTGATACTGCACTGCAGTGCTTGCAGCTATTACAGAACTTATCTGAAGCTGAATCTTGAAACTAAAAAAAGATATAGGCCTAAATAATAATGAAAATTACTATGGTCATGATAAGGGGAACAAGATGCATCACAGCTGTGCCATGTGCTAGAAGGCAGTGTGTGGCAAGTGCTGTGCACACGTGCAGAGTAAGTATAATGCCTATGTTAATTACATAAACACCTAGACTCTATGAAGTACTGTACATTGCCAAATGTCCTCAGCATTCCAAATAGATTTTTAGAACCTTTTTTTTTCCTTCAAATTTAGTTCTGTTATGCACAAACAACTTAAAAAAAAAAAACAAATTAAACAGAATAATGCGTTTACACTATTTTTAATATAGAAGTCAAATGACTGCTCTGGTACTTCTAGGTATAGACATACTCTTGGTATTTCTAGTGTTAATGGATTTATCTCTCACATGGGTGAAGGATTATGAAGGATTATTTGAAGGATTATGACAAGAATAACAAAAGGAACACACTGCTTGGAGGTCATTATTGCGCTGCTGCAGGACATCCAGTCGCCCATGGATGTTGGCCCATTTCTCTCCCAGCTTCCCAACTTCCCTTCGAATGGAACGATTCAACTCTCTGGCATCTCTGGCTGCTGGGTCCATGGCTTCCTCTGAGTCACTTCCATCACTCACTGGTGGCTCAGTTGCAATGAAATGTCGCCCCTGAGCCAGATTTGCATCTATCACTGGCTGTCGTGCCTCCAGCTGGCGGCGGAATGATCTCAGGTCTTCCTGCAAGTTGAACCAAATCGTAAATCACTTTTAAAATTTTTGCTAAGGAATTTGCATCAACAAAATGCAGACATTAAGAGTGATTGCTATAATCTTGCATTTTTATTAATAATTTTCCTGATAAGGTATGTGGCAAGGAACGAGACCACTGAATCTTATATTTTCAAGAAATAATAAATGACCAGTCCATATACTCCATCAAGTTATCTTTTTCAAGTTCAAAGGTTCATTCAGAGGAGGAAATACAATTTTGCTGAACTGCTATAGTTGCACAAACATAACATGCCACACAGCAAGGAGCAGTCATTTCTTTTCTTGGAATGCTCCTTCTCAAGGTTCAATTCAATATGAAAAGGATCCATAACTAATTTTGGGATACAGGCTTACATTAGCTTTAATCATATCAGTAAGTCAGTTTCCTAGATGCTAAAGTAGTAGCTGCAACTAAAAACTACTTCACTTGAAGACAAACTAAAATTTACCTTGAGGCAAGCCCAACAACTCTGATTCCTCTATATTTTTCTATGTTCCTTCTATATTAATTTCATATCTTTTTCAGAAAACTGGGGCTAAAAATTCGATATTTAGATTATTTTCAATAAAGATGAATACCTTACGATGAAAGTTTCTGAGAAAGTCTTCCCTCATAAAGTAAGGAATCAAAGATGATTTTGGAGAAGGATAATGCAGAGACAGAGATCATTAAACAATAACACTACCACTGAAAGACTTCTACTCCTTACAAAATAACACCATCACCCTCGCAAAGATCTTCCATTGAGCAATGCTTGTAAAATAATGCTTAGGCGTTCACACTACACATAAGCCTTTTTCATCTATTCAAAAGAGTTTAAATTCGACTTAATATTATAGTCATAAGTTACTCCATACGGCAAGCACAAGAGGGCTCAACATCCTAGTGAGGGCAAAAAAGCCAGGAATGTGATAACCTGCACAGCATAAATGCACATTCAATTAGAATCCAGGTCCTCCAGTTAGCAATTCAATCATGAGTACGTGCCTCCAAGAGAAGAATGGGTATATTGTATGCTGATACATGTCGCTGATTCCATGCTGCCGTACTTCCTCTGATAAGATGGGTCACAGCAGATGGATTTTTAAAATGCCTCACCTGCTGCTTCTGCAAGAAGTTCATGTCGGTTCGGAAGGAGGCCATGGCTTGAAGTTCCGTTTCCTTCCGGATCACCCATTCAATCAATTCCCTCAGGGACAACAACAGAGTGTTCCACTTGTCTGAGTTGCATTCCAAACGACTCCTGCAGCCATACGCGTGCAAGAAAAACCAGTTGAAAGTTACTGAAATATAGGACTCATCTAAGAGAATCGCCAAATAAATTCAAGTTCACTCCAGACAATGTTTGATATAAAAGAAAATGCTTCAAAAAGATTTAAAAAACAAACTTATGCAAAAAAGTTCTTAGTTCTGTTGTGTTTTGGTAAATATACCTGATGGCAACAGCCTTCTGTCGAAGTCCATTCCATCGATGGTTCATTTCGGAGAGTCGGTGATATAGGCCGACGGACTCTTCTTGACTCTCCAAGTTGCTCTGCAACTTCTGACCAGTCGACGCCAGTTGACACCACGTATCTCTCTGGCTCTCCATCTCCAGCTGCAGGTCCTGCACAGACACACACACAATGGGAAAAAAAACCATGAGTCATGCCATCATGCCATGAAGATAAGACGTTTGTTCCAGGGGAACCCTAATATATAGGCAGCTTGCTAAACCTTGAAATGAAAAGCAGAATACAGCAGAGTATGAATTTCTGGCTAGGTACAAATGCACTCCTTTGATTTGGTCCCAATGGGAGTAAAGCAACACATCTGTATCGTTTTACCATTACCCCAATTGATAAATTTGACCCAATTGAGCCCATTTACAGAAGTAGCACATGTAAAAACAGTGCATACATACGCGTATATAAAACGTGTAGATGTATCCAAGGTTACCTGGATGAAGGCATCGAGGGCCAACTTGAGAGAGATTGTGAAACCTTTCCATGGATCCAGAGCTGTGTCCAGACAAAGGTACATAACCGGATTCCATCGACCCATACCTCAACGCTCACAGAGTTCTTTAAATCTACAAGAGAAACTACTGTTCCCCCGAGACAACGGGGCTAGACTAAACCAACTCCACCGAGGCAGACACGGAGACACAGGAGAGGATGCATGGTGACGTCATCGACCCGGAAATTCGCGAAATTATCCTTTTCCCTGGAAGTGATTGAATCATTCATACTCAATGGAAACATCTACTTTCTAAACTCGTTTCGACAGCTGACGTTGGGGAGTCATATGAAATGAAAAATAGATAAGAAATTGGGAACCACAAAATCGGTCACACACTCAATGACCAAAGGAAGAGGGTAAAGGGAAGGGCAAGAGTGAGGGAGAGAATTGCATTTCTAAAGCGGAGGGGAGAGTGCGAGAGAGCGAGAGGGAGAGATCCAGGAAGCCATTTAAGAAGGAATGAGGTACATACAGAGTAACGGGAGAGTATTCAAGGCACGAACACAGAAGAAACGCGGAACTAGCTCTTTCTCTCTTCCTCTTACTCATTCTGTCCTAGCCAACGCCTTCTCATACAGAGATGGAAGCCCTTGGCCTTCAAAATAAGAAAAACTTTTCAGTGAATTACGATTTGCTCAACGTACTACCCACTCTCACAACGTTCTTGACTAGGGATGTTGGAATCCTAGTATACTACGATTATTAAATACAGTCTTTCGATGCGTTTTCGTATCACTGATATGTGAATTTTCTATTAGCAATTTATTCAAGTGAAGTGAGTGTTAAAACATCACTGCTGCTCACACTGCCAAGCTATGTAATAGAAGCGTGCATTTGAGCCCGAGGGTATTTTCTCTCAGCACGCAACCATCCTCATCCACGCCATCGACGGCTTCTGTCAAAGAGTCATAGCCCATGAAATGAATTTTAAGTAAAAAAAAAAAAAAAACATCAAAAGACGATGGAGGTCATGGCGAGAGAGAGGAGGGAAAAGAGGAAGGTCAGCGTGAGAGAATGGCTGATAAGTCATCATCGAGAACTCCTATTGTTTCTTCTTGGCTAGGTTTTTCTAATCTCTCATTTCCATCTCAGCACGTTACGGAATCACGAAACAGACTAAGGGGGGAAAAAGCGAGAGGACAAAAGGCGAATTTGTACGCTGACTGATTTAGGGACAAAGGCGGTCGACAGAGGGGAATTATTGTCATCTCGGGACCCTGCACTTGCACATCAAGAAGTCACTCCTACTTTTTCCTCAAGCGCCTCCTTTCCTTGGGAAAGATACGAGGCTCTCAGTAATTGCTCGGATATCTGTTTTGTGCGTCAGAATGAAGCTTGTGGTCAATGCTTCAAACGTCGCCAAATTTCTACCACAACTCATAAAATTGGATATCCTTTTTTTTTTTTTTACAACAGCTCACACAATACTACATTTATTACAAAGTCAAACAGAAATTTGGAATCTCAAGCAGAAGCACGGTGGAATGGATGGAGGGTGATAGAGAGAGTCCTTGCCTTCCGGCAAATGGCAATTCTGGGAATGTAAGCTATGATGCTGCCGCCACCAACCTCATGCTCAATTTCTTGACTTCCTTCCCGCTCCGTTCTTCGTATATCGTATGTGCTATCATTTGAAAGCATCCATCGAGTAGGCTTGCAAATGAACCGGGCTTGCCTGGTTTTTCACTACACTACATCGACGACCGTCGACTTTAAGGTATAAGGGGGAGACACGACAAGCTGGACAACGTTCAATCCAATAGAGAGTGCTCTTTCGGAGTTTTAACTCCAGGATCTCCAACTCAAGACCTACCATTTCTGAGTTTAAAAATAATAATTTATTTACCTTGCCTACCGAGACACATACGACGTCCACGATAATCGTAAATCATTCCATACAAAATGGAAAATATTTAAGTAACACATAGACTCATAACCTGACAAGCGAAGTCCATGATAAGAAATGAGATGGGGATGAAAGAGAGGACGAATAGATGCGGTTTTATTTATTTCGATTGTGGATAGGTAATATATTTCCATTCAGCTGTTAACATTTACCGATAATATCCATTTTTCAATTTTATTTTTATTATCTGCTATGGATAATGAAGGACTCAATATAAAAGTTTCAGCATGTAAATAAATAAATAAATAATTTGTTAAAATATATATGCATACACATTTGCATTCATCCATACCTACATACGTATACATATCTTTTTCTTTAAATAAAGCCTAATTTACGAGTTGATAAAATGAATGTTTAAATCATGAGTTTCGTATACATTAAACAGCTTCGAGGTTATAGAAACCGTTAGCGTAAGTTCATCATTGGATTTCAGGTTACAGGGCAGGACGCTCGAGATTAACGGTTAAAAAAAATTCAAACCATTTATCAGCTCTGAAGTCAGGTGAGAAGGGTAGCGGGAATGAGAATAAAACATGAAAAATTTGCAGAAAAAGATAAAGCGAAGAGAGTGTCTAGAGCTCAAATATATTTTTTTTTACAGTATTTTTTTTTTAATATCCTAGGTGAACTTAAGTTCATCAAAGATATCAAAGAAGTACATACCGCGATTTTGAACGGAAATAGAATACCTCCAGAATGTCATGTCCTTCCTCTCCACAAAAATGATACAAATACTTTTTTCTCCTTACATACCAGGTTCCACTCTCGTACAATTCCATAGACTTGTTAAATGTCTAGGTGAATGGTCGTCGCGGGCGAGAGACAAGGTGCAGTCATTCGTTTAGGAAAGGACGAAAAGGAGGAAGAGCTGGTTTTTCTCTATTCTTCGTATTGTGTTGGATTGGAGGAGGGGGGGGGGGGGGGGGGGGGAGAAGGGAATGCCAACAAGGTTCGCTTTGATGATGCCGTGGCCTCTTCCAATCTATCATGACACACACATCCGCATACACAGATCTACATGCCCAGCCCCCCTCTGGTATTTCCCTTCACCCTGCCTAGCATACCAATGATCTGGAAAATTTTCCTTGATTTCCGTTCCATTCACTGTTTGAGATGCCTCATAGCCGAGGTCATGAATCATGCGCATCATGAAGGAAACGAAGAACTGAGCCAAGGTGAATGGAGTTCCTTCCCCTTCGGATGGGTGGGTTGTGGACTGTCTTACCCAAGACCGACTGATGAATAAGAGAGCAATACCCCGGATAATTTTTTATCGTGAGCCATCCTCATGCATTGTGCATGGGTTTGAAACCAAGCTGAAATAGCCTCCATTTATATTGCCTTTATCAACTGACTCCCAACGTCTACCTTTTCTCTCACAAAATGCAAATTTAATGACAGCAAAATTTTAAATAAAACAATGGAAGAGATGCGGAAGCTGTATTGTTCTGAATCTGTTTGATCTGCTGTCTTCCCCAGACAAGTGACCAAGGATCATCAAGTTGGTATTTTTGAAACACCAGTAGGCTTCCTATGCGAAAACGCATCCATTAGATTCAGTGTAATCAGAAATATTAACATTTGGAGACGTCTGGAACAAGGTTTTGTGATAACAGCGAACCGCTTGAGTGGTGCAGTTGCGGACAATCAAAAGAAATCGAGAAAGTCGTGAGAGCGGGAATGAGCTTCCTCAAACTACTTTTCGTTCCCTCAAAATCTGCTTCCATCACGATGAATCGAAACCATAAGCACACATTAGATGATAGGAGAATATACAGTTTCCCCATATGCTTATTTTCATTAGCCATTTATGTTCACTGCTGAAGATCTCCACACGTATACGCCAATCTATTTCTTCACTTTCATGCATGTTACTACTGTTCAATAATCTAACTTCACCTTTGGTAGTCCTTAGAAAAGTCTAATTACAACAAAATAGAAAATTTTGACTAGCAGAAGTTCAAAGAAAACCCTTATCTCCAAACTCTCGGAAATCCGCAAGTGGAACGCTGCATTTAACCCTTTTAAAGGCACTGTACCATCTCTCTCTGCAGAGTTTTGTCCTATAAAGGGTTAATCATGGGAAGGCAGCAGGGGAATGACTCCCATATAAACAGCATAGAGACGAAGACCTGGGTGTGTGCATGTTTGCAATATAAAAGGATAAGACAGGAGTGAAAAGATAACATGCATAAATTTCATAGTGCCTGACACTTTCCACACCCCCGAGTTCGTTGAAAAGATGCCCAAAAAGGTCTCAATGTCTTCCATGACAGAGGAGGATATAAACCAACGTCCCTGTCAAAGACTTATGCACTACAATACCAAAGTTGAATTGAAATGCAAACAATAAGAATTAAAAAATGAAAAACATGGGAATGATGCCAAAGGTGATTGATTTCGATCGAATGGGAAGTCGAAACGCGTTTCGCCATGCTTTACCTTCGGCACATGACTCTGCTACGGTAACACTGCCCATGGGAGATACGAGTCTTTATCTTTCGTCTTCTCCAAAAAACCATCGGGTAAACATGCCACCAGAAAATTTAATTGTAACTTCTCGCTAAATGGATTCATATCGGAAACAGGATCTGGTAATTTACCTGCAATCAGTCAACGGGTCCGTGAGAACGAAATTATTGATAACATATGTGTTTCTGAAGATTAACATAAAATAAAATTAAAAAATGAATATT